CTTTTGATGTACCACATACCACTCTAATGAACTGTATTCAGTTCAAAGCACAGAATTCATACAGCTCATCTATCACTGTTACCTTTTATGCTACATGATTTTACTTTAGAATATTACATAAAAAAAAACACCAAAAACAAAAAAACCCCTCTTGTCCTAGACCTGTTTAATGCCATTACATTTCCATAAGAAATAAACTGTTTCATATAAAGAATACCACTCTGTTGAAAAAAACACACACATACACACACAGGGATACACAGATATAAAAAAGGCCTGGCAGACTATATATGGGGTATCAAACTATCAACAATAATTAATCTTAGAGCTCTTCCACTTCCTATTTTTACATTTCTATGTAGTTTGAATTTTTATAAAATGTGCCTTATATGCGCAATTTCTAAAAATATATAAAAAGAAAAAAAAAAAAAAAGGACAAGCGACTTGTTGGCTTTGAAAAACAGAATGATCAATTAAACAATGAAGGTACCAAAGGGTAATTACTCCCAGTCTCTCCCACCTCCATCCCAAAATGCACACCCCAAAATGAGAAATGGCAGTGCACTCCAAGGGCCCCCTCTGGCACTAAGTTTAGGAATCAATTTTTTCCTCCACACTCTCCACGTGTGATCTGCATTCTTACCCCAAGTCTTGCCAGATCTGTTTGCACTCCAGGTCTGGTTCTAAGCCAGCTGCTTCATCCCCACCAAAGTAAGTAACATAAAGTCTTTCAACGGGAATGCCAAACTCTTGCGTGAGAAGTTCCAGAGCCATTTTACATGCCAATTCCTACAAAAACAAAAAACAAAAAAAAAAGAGAAAGATGTGGAGCATGGCCAAACCAGTGTTTGGTTTATTATACTATTTAGTATGAGTACAAAAAGTCCAGATCCTGGGAACATAGATACAAAATTACAATAGCTTCACTATAAACTCAGCTGAATTCAGGATCAGTTTATGCAAGAAATCCAAATGTGAACTGAAATCAGCAAATTATAGGTACTGCTTCCAGGAAGTCACAGAGTTAATAAATGCCCTTCACNTTAAGCTGCTGTTCTTTTGGCGCTCTGTCATACACAACAGAGTCTATTTCTTAATTAATACAGGATGGCTCCTGAAGAAGTATTTGAGGTTAACCTGGAGAAAGGCAATCCATGAACACAAGTCTATAGGATCTCAACTGATCATTGTGGTCTGATACGGGAATATACAGATTTAACTCTCAGTTACATCCCTCATAAAATTTACTCCTGCACTCTACTTATGATAGTCTACTTATAATTTTACTTGGGAGTGACAATATGATGGACCAATTTAAAGCCAAGGAGGAGATTAATTCTTTTTACAATGTGTAGTAAGTATATCAAACCATCATGAGGTACAGTCATGTGCTGCATAACGATGTTTCCATCAACGACAGACTGCATATACGATGGTAGCCAAATAGCCTTGGTGTGTAGCAGGCTAACCATCTAGGCTGCGTAAGTGCGCTCCATGATGTTCACATAATGACGAAATCGCCGAACAATGCATCTATCGTTAAGTGGCACGTGACTGTACTTTAAATATTGTTTATATGTCAACTGTACCTCAATAAAGCTGAAATTTAAAAGAAAAAAAATGCTAACCAGCAAAATGCAACTCACCTCATCAATAAACAGCCGGACCTGATCCCCCACTTTCAGGTTGCCATAAATAGTTCCTATGTGTAGCACATACCCGCCTCGCACCTGAGTGTTCTTCACTGTAAACTCGGTTTTCTAAAAGGAGTCAGGGAGGAGACTAATAATTAAATAAATCCATATATATGTAAATACACACACACACACACACACACACACACCATATATATATATATATATATATATATGCGCACACACATTCTCTAAGACTCCTTACTGGTGTGTATATACATATGCACCATTAATACCATTATGTATATTATATATAACGTGTACCATTATATACATATTTCCCATTATATATACACACTACTTTACATATGTATACATATATTTGACTAGGTCACTCATCCAAGACCACAGAGTCAGCAGTGCCAAGGCTAGAGGCCGAGTTTTCGACAAGGATGTCTGCCCTTCAGAGAGCTGCCTCTCCTTACTTAGGCAAGTACGGAGGAACCAAGGATCCACCTATGCAGCCTGGCTGCAAGGATTCTGCTACGAGGGGGCCCAGTGGCTGTGAAAGCAACACGGTGCGATAAGCAGCTCCCGTGGCTTCATAAATACTGACCGTGAAACACGATCCAACGGTCAGTCACGCCTGTTCCCCAAGGCCTAAATTGTTGAGGAGCCTGAAAAGCTACACCGGTCCAGGCCTAGCCCTTTGTTGGACCCTCCTCTCTGGCTAACAAAGAAATATTGGCTCACGTCTTCACTGCTGTCATCAACCTTCACCAGGTAGCCTTCGTCATAGATCTGCCCTCCTTGCTCAGCATAGAAACAGGTCTTGTCCAGCACGACTCCACACTCCTGGCCTGTGGACACCTCTTGCACGAACATCTTATCCCTGCGCAGAGCCATCACTGTCGCCACTGCACTCTCAAATGCTGCATAGAAGGGGGAAAATCGGGTCCGTGACTTCGTTCACATGCTTAGCTGGCTTTTGATAGATTCTCAAACTCTCTTTAGGGCCTAAATATCTAATTTTGTTTTGGAAGCAAACCCACTAGACTCCACGAAAGGGCTCAACACACTGGTTTTCCATCAGAGAATGCAACACTCAGTAGGGTGTCCAAACTGTCAGTGTTTGCTTGGGACCCAGGGGTTTCCCAGGATGTGAGACTTTCAATGTCAACACTGGGACAGTTCTGGGAAAACTGGGACAGTTGATCATCCTGACTCTGAGCTACCGAGCTACCGAGCAGAAACTTGGTGAAACTGATTAGGTCTTTAAGAGTAGTAATAAATTCCCTACTTCAAGGTCAATTCATAAAGAATGTACTGGGCTGGCCTGGACAGATTTACGTATCTTTGCTGGAGCAAAAGAGTAAAAATATATATTGCCTGTTTATTTCTTTTGATTCTTCTTAACTTTAGAATGCTACTATCGCCAATGCAAAATTCAACAGCCATGTGGATTCTATCAATGTCAATTTCCTGGTTTCCAGCAAGATGTTATAATGAGGGGAAACTGGGTAAAGAGTATAAAGAATTTCCCTGTAAACTTCTGTTAAAAAAAAAAATTTCCTGTGCATCTGTAATTATTTCGAAATAAAGAGTTAAGAAAACCTATTGCCAAGGGTCTCTATGAGTATAAAAGTACACAGCAGGACTGTACAGCACTACAGGAAATGCTGTACCTATGGGGGTACCATAGATACCCCAGGGACCTAATCGTGAGGCCTGTTAGAAAACCCCCACATGAGGACAGTAACATACCATAGCTCCCACTGGAGTCCCAATGGTAATTATACTTTGGGGAATCATCTGTTGCCTCCATACTCTTTTCCCGAAGCTCTTCAATAGCATAAATGTCCAGCATAATGTGGTCTTCCCCACCAGCTCCCTTGCCCTGTGATTTCAGCTGCCGGTAAGAGAAATAAGCATAGTTACTCTAATGTAGAAGAAAAAGAACTCTGAAGCACTTCCAAACTGCTAAGGTATGCCCAATGTAAAGCTCCAGAACAGGGTTTTCAATCTTGGCACTACTGACATTTTGGGCCAGGTAATTCTTTGTTGGGGGGACTGCCCTGTGCATTGTAGGATATTGAACAGCATCCCTGGCCTCTATCCACTAGCTGTTACCCACTGGATGCCAGTAGCATCCTGCCCCCAGTTCTGAAAACCAAAAATGTCTTCAGACATTATTGCCAAATGTCCTCGGGGGGGTGGAGGGGTGGTGGTGGTAAAATGCCCCCAGTTGAGACCCACTGGTCTAAGGAAAACCAGAATTTCGAAGACTTTAATGGAAGGAAACTCTTGCTTGCTGTGCAGCTAAATCCTGCCCTTG